AGAAAACTTTGTATCAATTTGACTGTATGATCTGGTTGAAATGTAAAGTGCCTTGAGATGACATGTGTTGTGAATTTGGCGCTATATAAATAAACTGAATTGAATAGAATTAAAGCAGAAGGTTACAAAGGTTTTGTAACCTAAGGTCGCTGTGACCTCATCCAGGGGGCGTGGCCTATCCAAGTCAATCTAAGGGGTTCCCCAACAGTTTAAATAAACTTTTCTAAGGATTGTGCTGAAAGCGGTGGAACCTCGTCTGGACCGACTTGTTGGCGGTAAACTGTCTTCAGATTGGATGTTTTCTAAGTGCTGCTCTATAAATAATGATTCAAATGGATTTCGTTGTAGCTTCTATTATGCCTGATCAGGTGGATGTTTTACCTCATGATTTAACAGAAAAAGCCTTTTCATTATTTTTGCTAAAGTTCAAAGCATTGAATCAGAATCTTTCCTTTCTTCTTGGAATATGTTTGTAATGAATCAGTTGGACTGTGGTGATCTGTTGTAGACTGACTGATCTGCAGAGACTGACCTCTGGAAGGACCACAAAGGCTCCTGTCATGATGGTCAGGACGATGTTTATCCCAAACAACCAGCGGAGAAAGATGAAATAGGAGGCCACACCAGACCCAAAGTGACCTCCACAAGGAAAAGAAAATAAACAGAAGCTGAAATTGTTTCAGTAGTGATTGATTGTTGCACACCTGAGAGCTACAAACAGGGACTAGATCACTAATAGCCCATCATTTAAAAACATAGTGCAGCAAAGAGTTCATCTAGAACAGCATAGAGCATGACTAGCTTAGGGAGTCGCCACGACCCGATCCGTCGTGAAAGCACCATCCGTACCATCAGCTCATCATCAACCAGATATACCTCCAGGTCGCCCACAATTTTATTTGTAAAATAGACTGAAATTACATTTTTCCCTCCCTAAGAACAGTAAGCGTACTAAAATATAGTGTGTTAAAGATTCATTATCTATTTCCTGATCAAATCCTTTCTGTTTTATCACTCTGTGTCGACCTGTGCTGGAAACGGGATCCTACGCTACTTCACGGGAGCTAACTTCTTCAGCTTTGGATTTAAACATAAATAAAACCCACCTAATTGTAAGTGATCCTCGCCTATTTTGCATACCCAAATGGAAAAGCAAATAAATGAGGAACTGAACGCCCACATTACAGTACATGTGTGATATGTTATTTGAAAGCTAACACCTTTCTAGTTTCTCAAAATATAAATGACAATTGGGTGAGTAAAACACAGCCCAAGCTGCATCAGTTTAAACGTGACTCAAAGTTGGGTTTTTTTATTCTGGAAAATAGTAGGCAGTAATAAAGCCATGCTTGGAAATAGGCAGGTCTCATTTGTTCTACAGCATGTCAACCACAAATGCAGAAAAATGTCAGACCTCTAGCTATAACAGTTCCAGAGCTGTGGGGCTTTGAATCTGTGGTGTCAGCAGCAATGGCGTAAATATCGGTAAGCACAGACAGCAGTTGCTTAGGGGCCCACGACCTTCTTAGGGGCCCCATCAGTGACACCTGTGGGCCCCCCTACTGTAGACTAGGACGTCTCTTTGCAAATGTAATGGTGCAGAAAATTCCTCGTAAACCCACCAGATTCAGGTTTAACTGACCGGACCGTATTTATACAGCGACACATGGCAGATTTCACCGTGATGGTGAGCCATTTAAACACGTCACCAACAGCAAAGCAGACACTTTTAATTACTATGTTAATAACTGTGTATAGTTCATTACACATTTGGTAAAAAATACACTCATATAATATGTTTCAAACCACAATAAAGATCTAAAAAGAACAATGTCTTTTATTTTTTTCACTACGACTTGGAATCATGGGTAATCCAGAGCGTAGATTAAAACCATAACCGTTACGTACAATGTGTTAGCGACGATGGAGACCAGAAATAGGTACTTAAGCGGATTTCAGGAAAGAAAAGGGAAAGAAAAGCTGCTGGAAGAACGGAAAAAACTTCCCAGAATAAACACGTTCTTTCAAAGAACCGAAGAGGAAGAGGAGGATGTTGCTGCTACAGTGAGTAAAGATGGCGACCAGGAGATGAATGGAGAGAGCGTGGGTGAGGGGGGGGGGGCTGTGAAACTCAAGGTAGCCCGATAAAACTCATTTTACAGCAGAATATACTAAAGTATATCCATGTCTAGAGAAGGTGAAGAATGATGAAGTGTGTATGCATGGGGCACATGTTGGGTCGGTTGTCTACGCCGGTTAGGGTGGGACACGAATTTTTGGAACTTGGGATGTCTGTAACATGTGGTGTCACCAATGGTTCCCTTCATGTTGCACAGTTACTGTTGATCATCTGTCCATCATCGTATAAAGCCCGCCCTGACAATTTGATTGGCCCGCCAGATATTGTGCGAGCATACTCCTGCTACTATTGAGCAATGCCAGACCGAACTTCCCGACCTCAAACGTTGTGGGCGGTACTAAGTTCGGAATGGCACCCAGGCTACTGGTCACCAGCGTCTCCACACTGAATTTCCCCTTTCTGGGATGATAAAGGGACTTACAATACATCATTATTACATTGTATATCTGGTTGCACAGATGAGCTGATGGTACGGATCGTGCTTCCGGGACGGAACGGGTAGTGACAAGCATCACTAGCGTAGAGCATCACTAGCGTAGAGCGTTACTTTGCCTCCGCAGAGCAAAAGTGACTCACTTTCAATTTTCTTGATCCTGACTTCCCATGGAATGAAGGTAACGACAACGTTATAAAGCAGCCTGTAGAGTTTTTTCAGCAGCTGCAAAGGAGCAAACATGCAGAAAGAGACAGACGTTAGCATGAATGACCACAGCGCCCTTGTCCATGTCCAAGTCATCTCACTAAGGAAGCTCCGATGTTTGTCACTGACTGCGAGCAGATGATGACCACTAAAGACCTTTTAATGACTCTTATTCTGGATCTGATCTGAAACTGAAATAAATCAGGATGCAGTCTGTTTGCCATCTCTGTCAGAAAAGATCAGTTACAACAGAGATGGTTGTCAGTGAAACAGATAATAATCTGGGTTAATCTCTGGCTGCAGGCGTGGTCATCTCTGATCTGAAGGTTCATCTATCAGAACAAAATCACAATCATTTGCTCACTACCAGCTTTAAATCCATTTTTTATGTTCAGCGGGTTGATCTGCCTAGTCACTCAGGACATCGTTGGGTTCCTGTGATTCACAAAAAATTTCTTTCTTACTTGTGCATTCTTGTGTGCTCGTAAAACGTCCTCAGCCTCCGCCCCAGCGCCATTCCAGTTCATAAGAACCAGATCTAAAGCCCCTGTCACACCTGGACGATTTATCTAGCGTATGTGCTACTTTCACATTGCAGCCTGAAGTGACCCAAATCCGTTTTTTTGGCCCATATGCGACCTGGATCTGATCTTTTGATGGCAGTCTGAACAACACAGATCTGAATTTTTCCAATGCGACCCAGGTCACTTGGCTCTGTGGTCCTGAATCCGATACGAATCTGATCTTTTCAAATGCCACCTGTGTCTGAAGGGCCAGGTCGCATTCATCTGACCTGAGTGACATTAATACCCGACAAAGGTCACTATTCTGGGTCTTGCTACGCAGAAGCGGCAAGAAAAGCAACAACCATGGCAGGCGATGATGCGGAGAGCAGTATTTATGTTTAACCATAATGAAAAGATCACTAGATGCGTGCCGGCGCTACCATCATGTTCACTGCCATAAGCACAGAGCACGCTGGCTTGTGACGTCATTGCGTCCTCTACTGTGCATAATGGACACTTGCATTGTATGACTGTGGTTCACACAGGAGATCACATAGAAGTCGCATATATTTGGAAATATGAACAGCAAGGCAAAAAAAATCGGCTTTCACAAAAAAATGGGAATTGAGTATCAAGGCCAGCAGTGGAACGTAGC